AAGGAAAGAAACATCTGTCTCTGACCTCAATCTACTTACCATGCTGGCCTCATTCCAAAGTGTGGCCTGAAAGACTACTGCAAACACTCATCTCCAGGCCTCCCCCCCAACCACCACCACCCCATCCCTCTCACAACTGCTCTGCTCCAGCAGAAGAGGCAGTCTTCTCACATTACTTACATCACAAGCCATGCTACCCCCACTACTTTGAGATTCATGGGTGACCAATCACTGCTTTATTCCACCATCTCCTTCCCTGGTCAGTAAGCCTCACAGTTCAGCCTTGAGGCTGCAGAGTCAAAAAAACAATTTTAAAAGAGAAAATTAAAAAGAATTTAGGATTTGCCAAGCATCATCCCCTATTATATTTAGTTGTGTTTACATGTTGTTAATTGATAAATCTGTATATATTGTCCTCGAATACTAGTTTCTTTTTGTCAAAGTTCCAAGTTCCAGAAACCAAACGTACCTGAGCCAAGTGAAATCAACCAGTGATCCAGTAACTCTGAAATAACTATGGGATAACTATGAAGTACCCATTATGAGCCCACTTACCACTATGCATATTATCAAAATACTAATGCAATAAAAAGAAAGATGACTTCCAGATATAGAAACCAGAAAGACAGTTAATGGTGACTCATTAATGAAAATAAAGAATATAAGAAGAGCCTCCTTGACAAGGACAGGGCAAGAATTATGTCCATGATTTTAGACGAGCAAGTTCAAATTACCATAGGGAAATCAAAGTCCACCTTGAGATTTCTTAGAAGTACTTGAAGATTATTAAGCTGGGAAGTAACAGCATAAGTTTGCATTTTTCAAAAAGTTTCACTTCTAGATATCTATACTTCTAAAACAAGAACCCAGAAGATTCTGGTAAGGGAACGTCAACCAACCACTCTTTTGAGACTTCTGGTTCTGAAGAGTAGGCTTAATCTTAAGAGTGGATAAGAAAAGAAGGGATAGACTGAGAAGTGGAGAGGGTAGAGGACAGACCCCCAAGGAATATCAGCATTGTATAATAGACAAGGGAGAAGAGCTGGCAAAAGGGAAGTAGAAGATGCGGAAGTGTTGTACTGCAAAAGTCAAAGGAACGGAGAGCTTTAAAGCATAAGAATGGCCAGTCCAGGTAGATGCCCCCATGGGACAAAGATCAGGGCCAAGAAGTGTCCACCAAATTTAGCAATAAGGAGGTCTTCCGTGGAGTAAGGAAGGCCAAGGGCAAACTGCAATAGGTTGAGCATAACCATGTAGTAAGGGAAGAAAGTTGATACAGACTGCAAAAATAGTATGGCTAACAAAGGCAAGCGCAACAAGAGAAACCCAGAATGGAGAAATCAAGGAGCTGGCTGTTCAATAAAGCAAAGAAAGGGGATATTGAGGGGATGAGGATGAGGTACCTGAAGACTTGGAAATCATGATCAGACAGTGGGATATTGACATTTGCAAAGATGGAGCCATTACAGGGTTAGAACGACACTAGGACGGTAGGCTAGATGGGATTAAGATAAATATTCATAGAACTGACGGAATCAAGAAAGAGTGAGGTGGGGTGGTACTTCAGAGAACACTGAAATCGGTAAAGGAAAGGCTGGAGTTAAGAGTGGGGAGAGAGAGAGAAGACAGTGTCCAAAGTCTTGGGTGAATGCAGACAGTCAACAGTGCCAGTAAAGAGAAGGGTCGAAGGTGGCATAGCCAGATCTTGTCAGCTTCAAAAGAACAAGGGATCGTCTTGAGTCTTTCCTTAAACGAAGCGCTGTAATGCAATCAAGGGGCCCTAAGTATTTCCATGTGACTGTAAACAGATCTGAGCCACAAGAATTCTTATTACTGTAAAGGGATCGCCAGACTTACATCACTCCCACTGAACTTCACACACAGCCCCAGAACCACTCCATAGAGAAACTGTTCCTCTTTCTTTATTCTTTGAAAGTGCTGTAAAGAAAATGGCATGGAACCAACAGTGAAGAGAGCTAGAATCTGATGCTGCCCCACCCCCGACTGTGTGACCTTGGGAGTGTCACCTCCCCTTCCTGGACAGCATTTTCCTCATCTATATTTCTTTATTCATCTATTAATGCATAATTACCACTCTCTGTTGAAACCTAACAGCGGTGGGCACCATCCTAGACGTTGAGAACATAGCAGCAAGCAGGACACACCCCAAACCAAGGGGCAGCCATTTGACAATTCTAATTCTCTCCAGCGGGTGGGTGTGTGTGTTTTAAGTGAAAGCACTACAATTTCAGTGTAGCGGCGTAAGACCCGTGGATCTTTCCAGATTCAGTCGGAAACAGATACGGAATGAGATGGCAGCTCCTACTTGGGATCCCTGGACACTGAGGGAGTCCATGAAATTTCTAATAATAAACTTCCAGAAAACTGCTTCCATCACTTTAAGAGATCCAGATGGAAATTATGCCCAACACATTTACATCACTTCAGTAAAAATAAGTGTTTCTGCCTGATGGTCGCACATTCTAATGTACACATGTGCGTGGCTCTGCCTTAGAAACGGGGGAAACTATTATTACTGTGCAGTAAATATAATTCAGAGTCACAAAGTTCCCAAGCAAATTGAAACCAAAAAAAAATTTTTTTTAAGGCTCCTGAGTGGAGAAAACTTTGAGAGCCCTCAGCAGAGTGGAAAAATTTGGCATCAGAATTTGAAGACATGTTTGTTCAAATCCCACTTCTGCCGCTTTGTCCGCATAGCTTTGGCTGTATTTCTCTGCCACTCATCTGTAAAGCTAAACCAGAAGCCTACCTTTTATGGAGTTGAGAGGGTTTAGTGAGAAACTTTATAGTTTCATGTTGTTTAACATGACACAATTAAAACAATAACAGCAACAGACCTGATGTGTGGTGGGAAGAGCCAGAGACATGGAGGCAGGCACACCAAGTTCAAATGCCAGTTTCTCAGCAACTGCAGATGGGTCATGCTGGGCAAATGATGTAATCTCAGTGCAGTTCCGTTTCCTCAACTGTACAATGGATTATTTTGAGGATTAAATGAGACTTTATATATATGTGTGTGTACATGTATATATATATGTGTGTGTGTGTATATGTTAGCTACAATATATGTCTATTAGCTTGACACATTATAAACGTTTGATAAATGTTTATCCTTTCTTTTCTTTGAAAGTCATTACATATTAAATAAAAATGTTATTCTTTTCACTTCTCTAGTCTAGCATGCTTCACTTCCCTTAGATATAACTGAAGTATAAACTTCATCTAAAAAATATCAGATACATAATAGATGTTAAGGGCAAAGAGGAGTTAAAAGCACTACAAAAATGTAATGTATATTATATTTTACATGTCACTAACATATAATATATAATTAATATAATGTTGTTATATTCTACTGCTCGCATTCCTTTGCTACATTACATTTAGCCTGAACCATGGGGATAAAATAAATAGAACTTCTACAGAGCAATTCAGTATTCAACCAGCCAGCTAAGAAATTCCCCTTCTCCCCTCTTCCACCCAGGGGGCGGGGAAGGAGCCCTCAGTCAGTCTCCAAGGACAGAGGTGATTTTCAATGTCCATTCACATCTAATTATCAAGTCAAGTATCGCAAAGTCTAACCGATGAGCATTAAGTCTAACTAGCATAAAACATCATCTTATCTTGCCTGCTTCCAAGTCCTTCTTTCTGATAAGTACCCTGGCAGGGTCCAGAGAGGCCACGTAAGTCTTCAGCATTGCTCCATCATGCTTGACAGATTCCTACTATATCTGGGTGCAGCCCACTTGTCATTAGCTAAGACTCGCAAGAAGTGTTTTGGGCATAGATTTCATCATTGGCATAAGAGATGAGTGTTGCTGCCCACATTTGAATCACCGCATTACTTGGCAGTTCTGCACTGTCTGCAGGTTGACAACAAACTCAGGTACCAATGAAATTAGCCCTATTAGAGATCTCAGACTCTCCACATGAAAAGGAAAGGAAGGCAAGAAAGCCTGTGGAGAATAAATAACTTTTACTCTAAGGAGGACCATTAGTGGAAAGGTAAGGTGGTGCTGGAAAAACTGTCTGTTATCTCCCAACCCCACCCTCTGTTTATCAGACTGCGTATGCGCTAATGCTTGAAAATTGCCTCTTGTAATTAATAAGTATTGATGAAGGCCCCTTAAGTCCTGTGTCCACAGACGTTTTATCAAAAACTTAATGAAATACTGCTTCTCAAGCTGGTCATTCTAAATCCAGACCCTGGCCACGCATTTGAATGACCCAGCAAGCTTAAAAAAATACGGATGCAGGGTCCCATCCCAGATCAATTAAATTAGAATCCAGTGGGGGTTGGGCAGGCATCAGTGGCTTTGCACAGGTTCCAGGTCATTCTATCGTACAACCCGTGTTTTAAGAGCAGCCGTGACACCCACATTCTCTGGCGCTTCGAAAACACCTTACCCTTTCCACCAGTCCCAGAGAAAGTGAAAATATGCAGGGGAGGGGGTCCTTTAGGATGGACTGGAGCAAATTGCTCCATCTCAGGATCTATCTTGCTGACAGGTGCATTTCTGAGATAAGGAGAACGTATCCTCCTGTGGGATATTGTACACGCCTTAGGGAGTTTACCTAGATTCTTCAGAAGGATCCACCGAGTCTATAAAGAAAGCCAGCTTTGTAACTGCATTTTGCACTTCGTCGCACCCCTGAGGCAATAACCCACACGGCTCAGTCTCAGATTGCCATATCGGTCCCTGCCTCCTTTCCAGTCACCACAGTTCTTTGACTAATTTCTTTTACTAATTTATGCTTCTCTGAGAACCATCCCCAGACCCATTTTTCCCCAAATTGCAACACTCTCTCATCATTCCACCCAGAGTCTCCCCAGATGAGAAACACTGGAGTTGTCTTTTTTGTTTTTTTTGTTTTCAACGCTCCTGCTAATCTTAGTCAATTCAGCACTCACGGGCTGGGTGCCCGAATATGCTCGTCAATATGAGAAAACAGTAGGCCAAGAATTACGACATGACTCTCCTTTGATTGGACTTTGGCTCCCAGGAAGCCCAGTTTGACAAAAATCCTGACCGAAAACAAGCAATAATAGTCCCCGCAGTGCTCTGGCCCCTTGCAGATAAACGCCTTGCGGGACCTATCTGGCCATACCCTGCAGAGCCGTCTTAGCCGGAGCAGATGTCTGCGGGCCAGAGGTTTGCCTTGGCTCTATGCATCTTAGAAATCCGTGTCCTGACCGCTGGGCCCACTGCTAGGTGAGTCTCTTTTCTGTTTGTCTCTGGAATTTCACTGCCGGCTTTGACATTTCAAGGTCTACTTCTTAGCAGGAAAGCAAGTAAAAAAAAAAAAAAAGTCAACCCACATTGAGATAGATAGCCTCAAAGTTTGAAAAAAGGTGAGGAAAAGTGCAGGGGTGTGTCTCTGAGAGTTCTCTAAGGAAACCTGTGGCCGTTTCCAGCAATTTCTTTTAAACAAGGCATTCAAATGTTAAGGCCGAGATAGTCTTTCAATACTTGGAATTATGAAACAAAGCTGGTTTTCACCAGGGTATGATTGATAAACCTGAGTATATCAGTATCTCACATCTGAAAAGTTTAAGAGAAAGAAAATTAGTCTCTCCCTCATTCTGCCTCCATTGTCTACCACTCTTAACGATTGGCTACCTCACCTTTGTGCCCCCGTGTCGGGCGAAGGTTAGGCATTTTGCTTCTCCTCCTTGACATCCCAAGTTGTGTCCAGAGGCACACATTTTGACCTCAGGCTTAGGGCTGTAGTTCTTTCTTTCAAGAAGAATCACCATCCTGCGGACCTGTCAGCCATGCTTCCCGCAAAAACTGACTTCCTCTCCTTTTGTTCTGATCCTAATTGGGAACAGGAAGCTCATACCAAGCTGAGCCAGGAAATAAATCACGCAGGTACTATGTGCTTACTGAACACCTATGCTGTACCCAGAATTGCTGGAGAACACGTACACCATCCAATACAGAATGATCCAATCTGGGGACAGCATTGAACTATTTGGGTTTTGACAGTATAGCTGGGGGACAATATCTGCCCAGACACTCACCCTCTGCCCAGACATCATTGCAACCTGCAGCCATTTCCACTTTGGTCATCTGACTCTGTTTTGGAATCTGATGGCCGTGGCAAGCAATCTTCCTTAGCCTCTCAGCTGCAGCGGGGGCCGCCGCACCTCCTGGGCCCCACTGGGCAGGTGGTTCGCTCACAGGGCTGCGCCGTCCAGGAGGGGCTCATGGAGCTGCTGCGCAGACCAGCACGGGTTTGGCTGAAGGCTGCACCAGGCTTTCCTTCAGGCGCTCACTTCCTCTACCCCCGTGAGCTAAAAAGCCTTGTTCCATTCAGAAAACATTTTCACTTACCAGGCATCGGGCACAAAGATTTGGGAAGACAGTTACTGAAAGTTGCTTTAGCCTTCTGGTACTTACCCTGACCCTTTCTTAAGCTAAAAGTAATTTAAACAACCCGCATTCCTGGATTGAGACTCTCGCTGATCAAAAATGAGAGGCTGCGGGGAAGGCTGCAACCACTTTGAAGTTTGTGCCCCCGGGTCCCGGCCGCACTCAGCTGTTTCAGGGAGGACCACAAAGGCCCCTTGGTCGGCCCCCCAGCTCTAAGCAGCTGCACTGCTGAGCCGGCTTTGAGTTGGAGCACTCTCACCGCCAAGGCCCTTAGGAGTTTGTTAGGGTTACCCCACTCGAACACTCGGTGCTCTGCCCCTTGATAGAGGGTTGAGATTGAAACAGAGTGTTCCGATCCATCATGAGGTGAGACACACAGTTCGACCAGAGACCTGGAGTTTGCAAATGATTTTTTTAAATACAGATTTTATCAGAATGGCACACTCCTCTGGAGCGAGGCTTCCCAAACTCAGCTCCAGGCGCCATTACTAACGAACAAACCATGTAAGTTTGGGCAGGTTACTCAACCTTTCTGTTCCTCGGTTCCCTCATCTGTAGGATGGCGGTTGCATTCATTTCCTAGTACCACAAACCAGGTGGCTTCAAACAACAGAAATCTATTATCTCAGGATTCTGGAGGCTGGAAGTCTGAAATCAAGGTGTCCGCAGGGCTGTGCTCCCTCTGAGACCCTGGGTAGGATTCTTCCTAGTTTCTGCTGGTGGCCGGCAATCTTTGGCATCCTTGGCTCATAGCTACCTCATTCCAGTGCCTGGCTCTGGCACCACAGGGCTATCTTCAATCATCTTTCCTCTGTGCATGTTTGTCAGGTTCTAAATTTTCTCTTTTTATAAGGACATCAATCATATTGGATTAGGACCCACCCTAATGAACTCACTTGAACTTGATTTCCTCTGCAAAGACCCTCTTTCCAAATAAGGTCACATTCTGAGGTACAGGGGTTAGAACTTCAACTTTCTGGGCGGGGGGGGTGGGGTGGGGGGGACACAATTCACCCCATAACAGTGACAACAATAGCACCTATCTAATAAGGGTCTCTGTGACAGTTAAATTATTATATATAGGTTGTATTTACAACATCTGTGCCTGGCACAAAACTCAGTATATGTGAAATATTCTTTAAAATAATAACTTGCTATTACTTTGATAAGCTTTCTGGTTGAGGAAAGGAAGGGATAGAATTATAGCTAGCCTTCAGGGGGTATCATCGGGCTGCACATACTTAACCTGAAGCCACAGTGACCATGAGCTATTGCTACTGGTGAATTGTTGGGGATAGATCAATAATGGTTTGTTTGCAAACATAAGAGTGCCCATGAGAACAGGTCATAAACCGGGCATCATCTCTTAGGTCTCTCAGAGTAGAACAGAAATGTTAAAACCAGTGTGCTAGTAAAGTCATAGCTCTTCACACAGGCCCTGGAAGTGGGTGGCCTGAGTTTGATTCCAGGGTCCATAGTTTATTAGCTTTGTGACCCTAGGCAAGGTCCTTGATTTCTCTAAATCTGTTCCTCACCTGCAAACTGAGAATAAAACCGTGACTTGCTACGTGAAATTCCTGATAGTTCATGCCATGTCCTTAGCACAGTGAAGGGGCAGCTTTGAGGGCTCCATGGGCACAACTATCATTATTTTTTCTTTTTAATTTGTAAATAGCAACATATTGAACCCATGGTTCAAAGATCAAAAAATATAACAAAGTATACATTGAGAAGTCTTGATTTCCCCACCCATAGCTTTTCATGAGATTTAGGTTTTTACATATAAGGTACTTAGAATCCTGCTTCTCTTGCCCCACCCTATTCCCATAGGCAGCCACCTTCATTAGCTTTCTGTGCATCCTTCCAGAATGTTTTAGTGCAGATTAAAGCATAGAGTCATATGTAATCTTATACTTCCCCTTTCTTTTACATACTATCTTGTACTTTGTTTTTTCCTTTTTTCTTTACAATATATCCTGGAAACCTCGCCATATCCATTTAGAAGGACCTTCCTAATTCTCCTCACAACTGATTAATTTCCCATTGTGTGGATAGGCAGTCCAGTTAATCTATCTTTGATTGATGAACCCTTAGGTTGTTTCCAACCTTTTGTACGATAAACAATGTTGCAATGGATATTTTTAGTCCTATATCATTTTGCAAGTAGATAGTTCTACCTGAGGACTAATTCCCAGAAGTGATGTAAAGGAGTCAAAAGGAAATCACCTTTGTCACTTTGCTAAAATGGCCCCGTGGCCCCGGGAGGTTTGTACTACTTTTGCACTTTCCCCAGCAGAGTGTGAGAGTGCTTATTTAACCCCCTGCCTTGCCAACAGCTCTGGGCCAACTTTTTGGATAATTGCCAGTCTCATAGGTAAAAAAATGGTATCTTCAAATAGTTTTAATTTCCCTCTCTCTCTTTTTATTTTTTTTAATTGAAGTATAATTGATATACAACATTCTATTAGTTTCAGGTATACATCATGATGATTTAATGTTTTTATACGTTATGAAATGATTCCCACAATAACGTTGCATATCTTTTTATCTGTTTAAAGACCATGTGTATGTTTTCCTTTGTGACTGTCCATGTCCTTTACTCTTTTTCCCATTGAGCTTCTTGTCTTTCTCTTATGGATTTCTATGACCACTTTATAAACTAGTCCTTCGTCTCTGGTATGAATTACAAACATCTCCCCCAATCTGTCGTTCATCTTTTGACTGTATAGGTGGTGTGGTTTTGGTGTAGTTATAATTTTCATATTTATCTTATTCTTCATTTTTCAAATAGTTAAGAAGGAGCACTAAACTGGGAGTTAGAAGTCCCAAGAGCGGCTAGGTAGGTGGCCATTGGAGAGAAACTGCCTGGGTTTGAATCCCAACCTGGCCACCAAGTGCCCTCTGCCGTGTAACCTGAGGAAAATTACTCACTATCTCTGTGGCTCTGTTCATTATCTTTAAAGTGTGATAATACTAGTCATAGATATCTCATAGAGCTGATGTAAAAATTAAGGTAATAAGAATAAAGTCTTCAAAGAATTCCTGATGTAGACTAAACACTTCCAAATGTTAGCAATTATCATTCCATTTATTTGAGTTAAATTTATCTCAGCAATCTGGGAAAGTACCCAAACATCTGTTAATGGAAAAGCTAGGCTTAATTATTAAATTGAATATATCCAAAATGTCAGTTTTCCCTCCTTCTTTGTTGGTATACACCTGTGTTTTTAATATTCATATTCAATACAAGTTAACAGATATTTATTTGTCAACTACTGTTGGACATGGAGAGTCATTTGTTTATTCATCCAGGTAGTACAGCAAATATTTATTGAGTTTGCAACACAGGCCAGACATTGCATCAACTGCAGTTTAACTGAACATGTTGCAAGGGTCTCTGCCCTCACTGGGCTTACAGTCTACTAAGGAATATAGACAAATACACAGTGACTGAAACTCAGCCAATGTCTCCGAGTGAAGCCCATGATGCTAAGGGAGATATGTTCCTGTGACCTTCACCATTCCACTCGTGCACTGGCTTCCTCTATTCCAGCCTCTGCAAGGACTTTGCTCCTGTAACTCTGCCCCTCCTTCCTGCATCATCAATAGCTCCCTTTGTATCGAATCATTCCCATCAGCCTACAGACATGTTGTAACATTTCCGTTAAATGGTGGCTCATCCTCAGCCTTACTCCAGACACATACTCACATCCAGCTTCATGGAGCAACATAGCACTTACATTCTGACAACTCTCAATTTTATGTCTACGGTGCACCCCGCTTCCCTGAACACAATGTCTAATTACTTAAGTCAGCAGGAATCCCAAAATTAACAT